GAAGATCTGAAGAAAAACCTGCGGGTATCAATCTGTATTTGGCGCGAGTTAAGATTTTCTGGAGCCCATAATCAATGATTTTTGCATAATTTATAGCTAATTAACATATTTCTTGAGAGGCGCTAAAAGTAAACAATTACTTTCTGACTAACATATCTCAGATGAAAGAGACTACCACAGCTAGTATAGTAATACCCTCTTTGTAAATATAGTCGTAATATATATTCTTTTCCTGACACGCTGAAAGAGCTTTGTTTTTGAATGTTATACCACATTTATTCCGTCTGACCAGATTCATAAATGTCACGAACTTGTATATTTCAAAAATATCAGTACCACAAATCAGAATTCAGAAAGACCGATTATTCTTTCCTTGATTCAGTTGATGGATTTAGTTGATTGATTTAAAAAACTATAAGTATAATAGAACATTCCATGTGTTTCCATTGCCCTTATATAGGGCTAGAATTTTTATCAATATGTTCTATTTTTCTGTGGCGACGGCATATTAACAACATACGACACAAAAATGTACATTCGAATTTATGACCGACATATCAGAATGTTATTTAGGGACCGATCGTTTATTACGTCTCAGGGGGGGGGGCGGTGGTTTTTTTAAAAACATTGTAAATAAAATATGCACCCCCTATATTTTTTGGAAATGAAAAAATGACCCCCCTGTTTAACTATATAGATTAAAATTTAAAAACCCCCCCCCCCCCCCAATTGCATTTCTAGGCATTTCTAGGCATTGCGTATTTTAGCATTCAATTCAAAACAGGAAAACGTTATACAAAAATATATTAATGAATGATATAAACATGTAAAAGTAAAAATGCAATAATATTTATATATTATTATAAAATGTAGATAGAAAATACCTTTTTTGAAACTTTTTTTTTCAGGTGTAAACCATTGACTGCAATCATTTCGTTCAGCGGAGTCACTAAGAACCATTGAACAACAGGGTGAACTTTCGTCTACGCATGCGCGAAAAACGTAAGCGTGGAGTGCACGTGAGCGCGGGTTTATCGCGTGACTGAATTATAAAAACAAACATCAAATTTGCCAAAACTACTCGTGTTATGAAGTCGTTTTCTTGTTTCTTTAGTGTTTCTACGCTCACAATTTTAGGCATTTCCAACTTAGAAGTGTTTGCTTTGGAATAAGAACGTGAAGGTAGAAATAAAAACTTTGTTGCAGCAGTTTAATTTCGCAGTGCAAATATACCTGTTTTTAATATGTTTTTTCTTTTTCGAAATGAGATATACAAGTGCAAATTAACCTTCTTTAAATTCGTACTTGCCCTATTTTTCACTACATAAAAACTACTTTTATCCATGGAGAAACTATTTGACTCTAAAAATAAGCTTGAATTTTTGTGGTGATATAGGCTCATTTCTTTGCAAACAGTGATTTGGTACTCGGTAGTGTAGTTGTTGTTTATGAACAAAAGTCTAAAATGAATTCGACATCCGTCAACAAAAAGGAGTCGCGCTTTAATATTACTACTCTGCAGAGGATAGACAATTAATTTAATTCACTAGGAACCCGTTCTACAATATAAACTAGAAATCGGCCAACAAATTGCCACGAAATACTACAATGAAAATAGGGTCTCTGAACTACCAATTTCACCGAACGGTCAAGTTTCTCTGCGGCAAAGATCTCCCCTTTGACCAATTTTCCTCGAGTAGATCATCGTGTTTTTAAGTCAAGGATTATGTATACTTTAACATAAAAGAATAAAAAAATTGGCGATAAAGGGTTGATTTAATTTGAATAAAATACAAAAATCTGTATACAAGATCTGAGCGTTATTATCAAGCACTCGATACTTTCTCCAACAACATATTGTGCTTAATTTTTTACAAAATTAAAAATATTCACACATTATAAAATATATGAAAATGTAGCTTGCATTACAAAGAAATGTTGGCTTACCTAAGTTATACCTTACACGTCGATTAAAGCCAAGTAAAAACCTTTCAAAGACGCGTGCCACATTAAACTACACGTCACATGGCGGTAGAGAACTCGACGATTATATCATGTTGACGATTATATCATGATTATATCAGGTTATATCATAAAGGTCCGATTATATCATGTTCTTCGAAGCATCTGCTCAATACAGTCCAACATAAATATCACCACTCACCTTCTTCGTATGAAAATATAAGTTTTCCTTGCTTTAAAAACAGTCATTAGGTTGCATGTTGAAGAGTTAGGCTAGAACCTCCAACAATAAAAACCCAGATGCTTTCAAAAACCGTTGAATCACAATGCTGTAAACCTCAACATCCTTAGAAATTGTAACCCAAACATCGAAAAGCAAAATTCGCGGGAAAAAGCTCACGCGCCCGCACTATTTTTATTCAGCGTCGACGAAAGTCCACCTGAGTCCACCCTGTTCCATTGAACTAAACTTTCAACTATAAAGAGTTGAATGCTAAGAACTGGATTCCAGTCTTCTCTATGCAAAAATTGCACACAATGGCGCAATCTTGCTTGATTAGTTTGTATTTGTTTTTCTTTTTTTCAAATTCAAAATGGTAGATATATTTTGAATTTCATCTCATCAACCAAATAAAGTCATTTTAATATGTAAGAATCGTTTGTAATTTAACCCCCCCCCCCTTTTCCTTTCGGGATACAAAAAACTACCCCCCCCAAAAAAAATAACGATATTTAAAAAATTAACCTCCCCAAACCACCGCCCCCCCCCCCTGAGACGTAATAAACGATCGGTCCCTTATGAAGTTTGAATTGAATTTACTTAACGCGAAATAAATACTAAAATAGGAATTTTCTATGCCGGGTTAGTAAAAGAGAAAGCATAATTTTAATTGTATGTAATTTCGATGAATACTATTAAAAAAATTATACGCATTGTTTATATAAATTAGCTAACATTTACACATTTATTATGATAGTAGCGACGTTTGTTTTAGCCATGTAACAAAATAAACTATAAGCATTCTGATCAGTTATTTAACAAAAATATCAAACTTGTGTCTTGTGAATTTTAATTCACAAACTTTTGAAATTTATTCTCAGCTATGGAGCTCACGAATATATTTTTTTTTCAAAGAAAAATATTGAAATTCGATTATTTATAAAATGGATATTTTTGTTAAAAATGTTAGCTAATTTATATAAACAATGCGTATAATTTTTTTTATAGTATTCATCGAAATTACAAACAATTAAAATTATGCTTTTTCTTTTACTAACCCGGCATAGAAAATTCCTATTTTAGTATTTATTTCGCGTTAAGTAAATTCAATTCAAACTTCATAAATAACATTTTGATATGTCGGTCATAAATTCGAATGTACATTTTTGTGTCGTATTTTGTTAATTAATATGCCGTCGCCACAGAAAAATAGAACATATTGATAAAAATTCTAGGCCTATATAAGGGCAATGGAAACACGTGGAATATTCCATTATACTTATAGTTTTTTTAAATCAATCAACTAAATCAATCAACTGAATCAATGAAAGAATAATCGGTCTTTCTGAATTCTGATTTCTGGTATATTTTTGAAATATACAAGTTCGTGACACTTATATGAATCTGGTCAGACTGAATAAATGTGGTATAACATTCAAAAACAAAGCTCTCTCAGCATGTCAGGAAAAGAACATTACGACTATATTTACAAAAAGGGTATTACTAGCTGTGGTAGTTTCTTTCATCTGAGATATGTTAGTCAGAAAGAAATTGTTTACTTTTAGCGCCTCTCAAGAAATATGTTAATTAGCTATAAATTATGCAAAAATAATTGATTATGGGCTCCAGAAAATCTTAACTCGCGCCAAATACAGATTGATACCCGCATGTTTTTCTTCAGATCTTCTGAAAATAAGTATAAATCATTACAGCCAAGCACATTTCAGCGTAATTTTAGGTCCCCATTTGGAGATCTCAGGCTTCGATTTTAGTGTAATTTTGTAGACCGAACAAGAAGCAAAAACCGGTGTGCCGTCAAGTCGCTGTCGTTTATTCACAATGCTCTTATTTTTTGGAACAGAGAACCTGAATTGTATTTTAACTTGTTGATCTTGTTGAAATTTGGAAATAGTCAGGCGTTTTGACACAGCGCGGCTCTACAATTTACCGAAATTCAACCTTCGATTTTGCTTGTAATTAGCTCTGCACGGGTAAAATGAGTTTCGGCGTCTAGCGAAGCCATAAAAAAGAATTTTCAAAAAATAAATTTATTTTGGACACTTGTATACCAATGTCTTTCAACACACAAAAAATAAAGGAAATCTATTTTCCGAAGTCAAAGTCATCGGACCGCTCTTAGCGGGACTGCCACTTAAGTTTGTTGTGTTGTTACAGTTCTTGCTGATATAGATAGTGTACTGGTTGTTCGCACATTATACAAACAATGAATGTTTATGAGTGCAATGGTATATAATATTTTCATGAGGTGAAAAGAACTTGAATGGAACATTCCATCTTTCAGAGAATGAAAATATTCTTACCTTTGCACGAATAAAAACATTCATTATTTGTTTTATATAATAAAAAATAGACTAATATTATAAGGTTTACTGTAAGCTCCCGCCATTTTGACGAGTCGTATTTGCATTAAATTCCATTTACCGAGTTTCGAATTTCGGGTTAAAATAAACTTCGATCACCGTACGAGAAGCATTTTGACGGATATCGATGCGATTTATCGAAAACACAAAGAGTGCAATGGGATAAAACGTATAGTATACAGTTGCACTCGCAAAGAGTGCATAATGGAACGTATTCCATTCCACTCTTGGGAAATGAAATTTCTATTCAATATCACGTGACCATAAACAGCCAATTAAACGATCAGAATTCAATAAGGTATTATATAATATATCGCAACTTTTGCTATAAAATCTGGTCAAATGTTTTCAAAAAAAGAATGCGTGATTGCAACATGTATACAGTGCAATTATATTATGGTTTATCTGTAGTATGGGTCAGTATATACACATATTACCTCTTTATGCTTAACAGCTACAGCGTCTCTCAGCGTTTTAACATGTTCAAAATTTAGAAGAACATCAACGTCTTCGTTATCCTGGCACGCGTCTAAAAAGTCGACTGTAAACTGTCTTGACTTCTTAGTAAGAGCTTCCAATTCACTCTTCACTTCTATATTATTTTTCTTCATTTCATTAATTTCGCAAGTCAGCTTGAAAGCGCGTCTTAGAGGATCGTCTGCCATGACCGTGGGTTTGGCCATAGAGCTAGGCTTGGTCAGTTCTTCGTAGGATTTTAGGACGGTCTCCCAACGATCGATTCTTGCTTTACGTTTGCAACAGATTTCTTCACATTTAATGTCATGACCCAGTCTGCAACACTTTTTTTTACACTTAAGAATGTCATGATCCAATCTGTCAGGTTTCTCTTGACAATCCATGCATTGCATGATCCAAACTAAGGTTAGGTGCAGTGGAGTTTTGGGAAAGGAAAATTTCTTATGAGTCTCACGATCTTAACCGCTAATGCATTCACAGAGGAACTATAAACTCAAAACCCTTTGGTATATACTGTAAGTACTTACGATAACAATTGCTTGTGCATCCGTTTGTTGCATGTTGGTATATAATCGGCTCCTATACGAAAAGACAGGAACACAAAAGTTCAAGACAATTTAGAAATATAAAAATATCAATCCCAAGAAATGGCTAAGAAACATAAAGAGTTGTTAAAATATCATATAATGCAAAAGCATGCATGAGGGAAATGACTTACACTAAAAATTCCTCCTGTCTTCAAGAATATGTAAAATGTCCGACAAGTGTACTGGTTTAAGTGGTTTGTTTATGGTATATGTAAAACCATAGCAGTTTTGACGGTCGCCATTACAGTTTCAGATTTGCAGTTTCAGATTCACATTCGGATTCGAGTATGAAAATAGATCTGTGTCTGCATGGCATATAAAATGTCGAATTACTCTGTTTCTTTCTACGCAATAAACTTGTTAACGAATTTCATTCTTCTTCAGAACATTACGCATTGAACAAATGTACTTTGACGGCTTTATAGCGCAACATGCATGTGAAGTCAGAAAAAATCGCAAAAGATAGACGATCAAGATCGGAATTCATGCTGTGCCATTATTGTCGCAACTCGCAAGTGCATGATCGGCAATATATTACATTTCGCTGTGTAAAGCAAAATACCCGTTGTTGCTCCCTAAACTCTAAAATTCATTCATTACTACATTATAGTGAATGGTATAAAACAAAACTGATCTTAAAAATGTTAGTCATTTTGTCAGTAAAAGTCGCAAAACTGATAGCGGACGCGAACCGGTTATTGTAACCCGAAGCGAATGACAACAATGCAGCTGAGAGAATAGGCTTCTCACGCATCACACGTTTACATGGAAATATTTTCCAGCAAATTCATTCTTCTACAACTATCAAAAAATGATATAAAACACTTGTTAGCTTCAAACAACTTATGGTTTCAGCAGGAAAAATTGCAAAAGACAACTCGTGCTTGACTAAGAAATCCGGATGGGCATTGGAACTCTCCTGCAAGTCCGCTCAGTCTGATATAGTGCATTTATTCTTAACAGTGAATCCATGCGAGCATATATAAAAAAATATATTGCTTAGCCGTATTTTTTTCGCGGAAAAAGTGTTTGAAATCGTTTTATGTGTAGAATGATAGAATGATTGACCCCCCGGATTTTATTGTTCCATATTGAAATTTCCCGTAGTTTCACATTCACTTTCAGATTCGAACTAAAACTGTGATAATCTGCACAAATCGCTAAACCACAGCACTGCAACAGTTTTAATGCAGCCCATTACAAGATTTTCACTCATCTGCATCATTGTGCGCTTCATTTGACGTGGTTTTCATTCCGATTCACAATTGTGTGCGTGCAGGAAAGATCGCAAAAGACAGACCATCAAGACGTGAATTCATGCTGCGCCATATTGTCGCAAGTGATCTGTGTCTGGCGTATATAAAATGTCGAATTACTCAGTTTCTTTCTACGCAATAAACGTGTTAATGAACTTCAATCTCCTTCAGAACATTACGCATTGAACAAATGTATTTTGAAGGCTTTAGCGCAAAATCTAAAGTCAGAAAATATCGCAAAAGATAGACGATCAAGACTGACGTGAATTCATGTTGCGCCATATTGTCGCAAGTGATCGGCAATATTATATTTCGCTGTGTAAAGCAAAATACCGGTTGTAGCTCCCTAATCTCTAAAATTCATTCATTACTACATTATGCTGAATGGTATAAAGTAAACTAGATCTTAAAAACGTTTGTCGTTTTGCCAGGAAAAATCGCAAAACGTAGCTGACGTGAACCGGCTTTTGTAAGCCGAAGCGAATGACACTGAACAACGCAGCCGAGAGAATAAGTAGTTCTCACGCATCACACGCTTACATTGAAATATTTTCCAGCAAACTCATTCTTCTACAACTATCATAGAATGATATAACGCACTCGTTAGCTTCAAACGGCCCGAAACTCGCAGAAGACAACTGTCTCGTGCTGTACTCAAAAATCCGGGTGGGCATTGGAACTATAAAATCCGGGGAGTCAATTATTCTATCATTCTACACATAAAGCGATTTCAAACTCTTTTTCCGAGAAAAAAACGGCTCAATATCATAAACTTTTAAATATACTGGCATAGGATCACTATCAAGAAAAAAATACACTATATCAGAATGCAATATATCAGACTAAGCGGACTTGCAGGAGACTTCTGATGCCCATTCGGGTTTTTGAGTACAGCACGAGTTGTCTTCTGCGATTTTTCCTGCTGAAAGCAAAAGTTGTTTGAAGCTAACAAGTGCGTTATATCATTCTATGATAGTTGTAGAAGAATGAATTTGCTGGAAACTTGTAATGCGTGAAAAGTATTTATTCTCTCAGCTGCATTGTTGTCATTCGCTTCGGGTTGCAAAAGTCAATTCCGTCAGCTACGTTTTGCGATTTTTCCTGACAAAACGACAAACGTTTTAAAGATCTAGTTTATACTTTATACCATTCAGTATAATGTAGTAATGAATGAATTTTAGAGATTAAAAAGCTACATTGGGTATTTTGCTTTACACAGCAAAATATAATATTGCCGATCACTTGCCACAATATGGCGCAACATGAATTCATGTTTTGATCGTCTATCTTTTGCGATTTTCCCTGCACGCACACAATGGTGAATCGCAATGAAAACCACGTCAAGTGAAGCGCACATATAGATGAATGAAAATCTTTTACGTGAATGGGCTGCGTTAAAACTGTTGCAGTGGTTTAATTTAGCGATTTGTGCAGATTATCACAGTTTTAGTGCGAATCTGAAAATGAATGTGAAACTACGGGAAATTTCAATATGGAACAATAAAATCCGGGGTGTCAGTCATTCTATCATTCTGCACATAAAACGATTTGAAACAACGATTAAAAAGCTACATTGGGTATTTTGATTTACACAGCGAAATATAATATTGCGACAATATGGCGCAACATGAATTCACGTCTTGATCGGCTATCTTTTGCGATATTTTCTGAGTACACATTTTGCGCTAAAGCCTTCAAAATACATTTGTTCAATGCGTAATGTTCTGAAGGAGATTGAAGTTCATCAACAAGTTTATTGCGTAGAAAGAAACTGAGTAATTCGACATTTTATACGCCAGACACAGATCTATTTTCATATTCGAATCCGAATGCGAATCTGAAACTGTAAAGCCGACCGCGTGCAGTTTTGTTATCAGATAGTTGGGGGGGGAGGGGGTATTATCCTTTCGAATGAATGCCACCAGAATCACAGGATCAAAATAGTACCAAACGCAACATTGTGTGACTTAGCTTAAGTTATAGATAGACAGGGACGCCGCAGCGAGGGTGGGGCACAGGGGGGCAATGTTGACGTAAAGGCAATCAGTAATTAATATTTCGTTTCCGAAAATTTTTTCCGGAACATTAATTCACCAAAACAAGGGCAAAAAATTTTGAAAATATAATTTTTGACACAATATTCCAGAAAATTTCACATATACAGGGTGTATCAAAATAAACGCAATTCATCTTTTGTGCTCAATAACTTTCGGAATACTATTTCTAGTTAAACGCTTATAGGCTTACTTCAAAGCCTGTTCTTTTCTCTTTCAAACAAACTATTATCCTTGTCTCCAATGCTAGTAATAATTGCACAGGAAAAGATTTAGTAAAACCTATCATTTTTAGTTGCTGTTTAATTATGCAAGTTTACTATGTTATTGTTTAGTCGGTTTAAATGTTAGAATTTTCTTCTTTAAACTTTAATGTTGTCGTCACTACATCTGGAAAACCACGTAAGAACAAATTAAAAGTATTTTAAAAGAGACCAGGTTGTTTGAAAATCCTAAACGAATGCTAAAAATCGTCAAAACATTCTGGTGTCTGAGCCAGAGTGTCATCGAATTGCGATGTAATGTAAACAGAAATTATAGCAAGTTGATGTCAGTCAGCTTAGATAGATCGCAAGCCAAAATTATATCGCATTTGAAGTTTCAAACTGAGTTAAAAATAGTGGGAGAAAAGCTGTAATTATACTTATTGTTACAATCCATTTAATAAAATGCAACATTTTTTTGTTTTAATGAAAAAAGCAGTTATTTTCATGAGAACGATTTGTTATTCCATCTCAATTTTTTTAATCTCCAATCGCAATAACGTAAAGTATTATTACCCGCGAACCAATGAGTCAAATTTAAGAAACAAACCACTGTTAGAAAGCTGAATGGCTATGCTTTAAAATGAATGTAAATTTTAACGTTTTCGTCTATTATTTGTTTAGCAATTTACATTTCAGTCGAGAATTGCGCTTTTTTTGGTACACCCTGTATTTCAATATTACGTGCATTTTAGCCGTAATTCATACTTTTTAATCGTTGTGCCATACATTTTTTGGGTTACAATTTTTATCTATAAGGACATTTTCGCCCCCCCTTCCCCCCCTTACCAAAGGACAAGGGGGGCGATGCCCCCTGCGTCCCCCCTTTCCGGCGTCCCTGTAGATTGATCCTATCTCGATTCCTCGTAGCAATTGTATCTAGATTCTCACGAGGTATGGAAGTTAGTACGGTCTATTAGGTGGGCATGTGTGACCTGCCTCATGCGTGTATCTACGCATGCATTTATATTAAAAATAAGATATATAATATCCACTATAAGCATGCAACGTATTCATAAATATTCTTTGTCCGTTGCATTCTTCATTAATTTTCTTTGTTCACGACGCACGCAACCTAATCAAACAACTTCAGGCAAGTCCGTTTCTCATTTTGAGATATTCTCTAATATTTCAACTGGAATTATTGTTAACTTTTTAAATTTAATACTCTTCGAACATATAATTTTAAGTCATTCGTTTGGCATGGAATAAAGGAAATAATA